ATTTCATTAATAGGTCAATTCCTTTTCAAAGTTATATTTTCATGAAGCTTTTTCGAGAATAATGTAAAGAGATGCTGCAGAAGTTTCATTGGATGAATGAGTACATTGCTGAGCGTAATAGAAATAGTTACATTAGCAAACCGGAGTAGTCTAGTTATAATCATCCTTGTCGATAGGTGCTTGAGCTCAACTATTAGATTGGTAATACTCTGTTGATGTTTTTGTTGTCACTATTGCTGATTGCAGTTATGGTTTGTTTACTTTTTCTTCAGGAGTATTAAAAAAGAATCTGTCTGTTGTTGTTTTAGGATGAAAGTAACCTTTGTGCATCCTGATCTTGGTATTGGTGGTGCGGAACGTCTGGTTGTCGATGCAGCAACAGCAATGAGAATGAATGGCCATCGGGTGGTTATTGTTACCAACAGTTACTCAACATCACATTGTTTCGAGGAGAGTAAAAATTTTGGTATGATTTGTTTTTATTTACACCTAGAATTGTGTCTTTGTGAAAGATAAAAGAAAATAAATTAAGAATTTATCAACTGAAGTATTAGAAAAGTTGCATGTAGATTTAAACCAATTTTTTTCTTTTGAAGGTATAACGAATTAATAGTTTACTTTTTTAAGTTAGGAGAAAATTATATTGACGTTTCATTATACAGAGCTCGACAAATTAACGCTAGTTTTGTTTTCGAAAGTACTGCTTGACCTTACTAGCAGTGGTATATTATCGGTTATAACTTGAGAATGAGTGCATCAAATTTAAAAAAAAAAACCGACTTCTAGAAAGTAAAAGTCTGTCGGTTTTTGTTACAGTCTATATGCGGCCTTGCTGTTCCTTATTTATCTCATATACGCCAAATATGTAAATGAATTGTCGTTTACAGGTGAAGAACCCTGAAGAAATGGTGTAATTTGTAGGTTATCAAAGTCAAGATCTATTATTCTTTCCTATTCATCCTCGTAGGATTGCGGCTAATTTTTTTCTGTAATGACGCAATCAAATTCTACCTCACGTTGTTAGGCTCAGTGTTTCTAAACTTTGTTATTTGTTCTGGAAATGGTGCTGGTGAGATTTCGTTACTGTCATCTAGACAACGCATGAGATGTTGCACTTCTTCCTGAGGTTTTAATAAGCGATCAAAAATATGTTTTTTTATTGGAGGTTAGTATTGTGCAGGATTGAACAACTCGCTTAATTTACCTACGCAGGTTTACCTAACTTTAAATGTGTTACATAATAACTGGTCGTCGTTATGTTTGAAAGTAACATTCTTCTGCACATCTCAAGCAAATCACAAAATTCACTTAAACGTCATTTCAATTTCCTCTTCTGTTTTTCTCTAAAGCCGACGCCGGCATCGTTTTCAAATGTCGCTTTGGCCACAACATTCTTCGTCTACGAGGTGTTACATCTATTTTAAACGGGATTCTGCAGTTCCTTTCAAGTATTTGTCGCTGTTTATAAATATTGCTACGTTATTTGAGTTATTGTCAGCCTTAACGCCTCTAAACTTTAGAGTGAGGCTTTAGTTATCCTTGCTATAACGGTTTTGGACTTTAGGGACCCACTGTTTTGCCGCAGTTTTTTGCTGTTTTAGTATTGCAAAAAGATACTGGATACGATTGGGCAGACGACACATTTGTTTTTTTTTTTTAAGTTGTTAAATTTTACTTCTGCTTAAGATTGTCGAGGTTTAGAAGCCTTACTGTTCAGGTAGTTTAAACTACTGGTTTCTAAAATTACAGGTGACTTTTTGTAACGAACCTTTTTCCTGTGCACAGGAGACTAAGGGGAAAATTTTTTTCAAACAGAAATTTAAATAAATTGCTTCTATCTTAATTCGAATATTCAAATATCGAATTTTAGAAATAAAATCGGTTGATGTCTTTCCCCGTACAATCTTCAACAGGTGTGCAGCTCTCTGCGCTTATATTAGGATGTGTATTGCTGCTCTCTACGTAGCTTTTGCAGTGGAAACTGATCTTGTTTTTTGTGACTCGGTATGTGGGAGCCCTACCTGAAATTTGTAGAAAAAAGACAATTATTAATTTTAAGCTTTTTTTCGGCTTTGAATTCTGTTTAACCGTTCTGTTAGCATTCCAGATATCTGCATGCATCATAATTTTCCGGCTTTTTCGTGCTTTGGGACTCTTCAGAGCAAAAATTATATATTATTGTCATTTTCCGGACTTGTTGCTCACGGACAGAGAAACGTTTGTAAAGACTGTTTACCGGTCTTTCATTGATAGAATAGAAGTATTACTTTTATTTCTTGCAGTCATGAGTACTTGAGGGTCATGAGTTCAGGCTATTTTACTTGCAGTAGTTTATACTTTTTCACATATTACAGCAAATTAATTAATTTGCTTTTATTAAAATGCATGGAATTGTACTGAGGGTGATATTAACAGTAAAAAATATAGTAAATATCATTATTTTCAATAAGTATATTGTAATTACAAATGGTTAGAATAGTTATTCTGAAAGCGACAATTAAGTTGTTTAATTTTCCGACAAAAAGCAATTTTGTGCCAACTTTTTTTGGTCTTGACTACTGCTTTTTCTGAGAACTACTACTTTGGTTACAGCGAGCAGTACGAAGAATCCGTTTCATTGCTAGTTGAACCACCGAATAATGATAAAAATTAATTTTAGGTATCATGGCGCTGTCTTTCTTTTTAGGAGTGGAGCACTGGTATGGCTGATTTAATATGTGTAAATAGTAAATTTACAGAAGAAGTTGCGCAAGCGACATTCAAAAGTTTAACAAAAAAGCTTTATGTTCTATATCCCACCTTAAATACTCAGTTTTTTGATGACTGTCAACCGACAGAAATTGACGGTATCCCTGAAAGTGCAAAATATATATTTGTTTCCATTAATCGATTCGAAAAAAAGAAGCGGGTTGGCTTGGCTATAGAAGCTTTCGGTATTTTAATGTTTTCATCGTTCATTTACCAATTTTTTGTCATCTGTTAGTTTCTTCTCAGGACTTTGCTAAATGATAGCTTTCAGCCAGTTTGAGAAAAAAGGTTCCTGAGGAGGTTTACAGAAACTGTTTTTTGGTCATTGCTGGCGGATATGACAAGAACAACGAAGAGAACCTATTACACTTTAGTGAGCTGCGGGAACATGCTGTTGATCTAAAAATACCATCAAAGCAAATCCTCTTCCTCAAGTCGCCCTGTTAGTTCACTTAGCACTTAAAGACAAGATAATCTTCCGCATCGCCTGTGAATTCTCGCTGTTGTCTAAGTGCAGCATTTAACGCGGCTCTCGTAACCTTTCATTGCAGCTGATGAAGTGAAAGTGCAGTTACTGCGACAAGCGTTGACTGTTTTGTACACTCCTTCGCGGGAACATTTTGGTATCGTACCTGTGGAGGCGATGTATATGAAGTGTTGCGTCATTGCTGTTAATTCTGGTGGGCCGAAGGAGTCGGTGGATGACGGAGTTACAGGATTCCTTGTCGAACCAAATGCTGAGGAATTCGCTAAAAAGATGGCGATGCTTATAGGTGGAGAAAGGGATGCAAAACGTATGGGCGAAGCTGGTTATCGTCGCGTAATCGACATGTTTTCGATGACAAAGTTTAGGGACTCTTTAGAAAAGATTGTTGAAATTGTTTTTAAAGACTAAGTCGTTCTGTATAATACACCTCCTGTTAAATTCCCTTAACTTCGTGGTTGCCAAATGCTATAATGGTCCTTACAAGAAATGCTTGACAGGAAAATATTGTTATGAACAATACTGGTAACGCTTGCCTTGTCTAAAAATATTATAAATTTGGAGCTCTTACAGTAACTACTTGAAAGGTTTACCTTTTACAAACGCCTAAAGAATACCTAATTATTAGGGGCTCACCGTGCAGTGTCCGGTCCCCCTTGAGGACTACAGTGCTTTTCCAATTGACAGTGAAGCCTTAACTGTTCCAGCGAAATCTCGCAATGTAAGTTAAAGTGGCGAATCACAAAGATATTTGGAATGCTTGTTCGTCACTCAGTGTTACACCGTATTCCCAGCTGCATTAGGATTTTATTCTTGTTTCCACAGTTTCATTTAAATACAGTTGGCACTAGTTATCATATCGAACGATATATAATGTAAATACAGCCTTTTACACGGAGGGAGGGATAAGAACTCCAAACTCTAATCTTCACTTAACCTACAAGTAAATTTACTTCAAATGATTTAACACCTCCAATAACTTTTTCTGATATTGCTGGATCGGATTTGGTGCGGCAGTATGTTAGACCGAATCGTTTTTGACGTGCTTATGTCAGGGTTTGAAGATGAAAAAGCGAAAAAGCAGCGAACTTCATCTACTAAAACTGTTTGCGACTCATCTTGTACTGTTCAGGAGATCGGAGAGATTAGTCACGGAAGTGGATAATTTACTTCACAGACCAATTATTTTTCTTCCTATTTCTTCTTTTCGGCTTCATCTCTGCCTCGGTATTTGTAATCGACAAAAAAGGTTGTAGATCGTTGAGCGATTTGTTAGCATTCGAACGTATATGACCGAGTGGCTGTATACTTTCATACAGCTCAGGTTCTCTAAAAAACGTACTCTTTCTTTCACTGGGAAGAAAAATGTAATATAAAATTCTTACATGAAGCAGTCGAAGAAGGCAGATATGACAGTATGCCAATTATCTGGGAAACCTTTCTGGAACAGCCGTATAAACTTCATAGGATAACCTTTAAAAAGAAATATTTTTAGCAACAAAAGAGCCTGTATTAATTTAAAGAGCATAATAAGAGATATAACATTCAAGGCTGCTTAATGCGATGAACAGTTTAAAAATAAACAATTACTTATTACATTATCCAGACAGGAAGTTTTCACAAAACTGAAATCACTTAGATGTACAGCAAATAACCTTGTTGTAAGGCTAGAGCAGTATTCATTGGTCCTATTAACTTATATTCTGTGGATGCAGTGAACAAGTGATCTGGCGGTTCCACAGCGATCACGCAAGACGTTTTCCAATCACAGGTTTGATCGCTGAAGTTAACGAATATCTTTCAAACCATAAAAGTTTGGAAATAATAGTCGTTGCAAAATTAAACATCTAAAATTACTAAAGGCCATTCGATTTAGATCACAAAATCCGGCTTTTTTTATTCACATGAAATAAACCATGTTCAGGATTTGCATCTAATTTCTCAAAAAATTTGATAAGTCTAAAAAAGTGTTGCAAAAAGGGCAAGTTACAAGCAAATTTGCTGCACATTTAGAGAAAAAAATTAAGCTTAAAAAATTAACAAGCTTTAAAACTGCTTTTCAACCGTAAACCTTACAGCCTAAATCCTTCAAGAACAAGCCCGAATTTCTCAAAAAGTGTTGAAATACCGCGATCGCGCACGGCAAATTTGAATGTCCAGTTGCAAAACTGACAAAAAGCTGAAAACAGTGGAATATAATTAAGTTTTAAGCCAAAAAAGCGATAAAGTAAAAAACTTGTACACCTTAGTAGCAACCCAAACTATACATTTAAAAATACAATTTCCACATTCTAATTTCTATACACCCTTCCTCCTCCGTCACGTCCTCCTTCTTAAAAAAAATGCGTTTTCAGGACAGAAACTGAAATGCAAATAAAAATGCAGTAAAAAAAATCTAAAAGATTACGAAGTTTGTTGCGAGGCCTCTCAACTGTACTGCTACAATACGACCTCCTTTCCAATTTGGGAATTCCCAAATCGGAACACCTGTTACCGTGAAAAGCTTCCACTAAATAGTGGTTTTCATCTAAAGTTAGCATTAAAAAAATTTAAAAGACTGTCGTAGTAAACATAATTACATAATGTTATGTACAAGCGACACTAACATCTTCTCCGTTAAAAAGATGCAGCAAAAAGAAGACAATTCTTCAAGTGCAAAAGAAAAATAAACGGTAATTCCCAGACCTTCTTTAGAAGAATATGACTGCTCTGCTGACGAACCTTCTCCAGAGCGATCACAGATTAAATCGCGTGAGATAATGTTGATAAACCAAGGCACATTCCGGATTAAACTTTTTTTTATTTCAATATAATGGTTTTGCAATACCGATTTCCAGTCCGGAGGGAAACCTTCCTTGAAGCACTCAATTATCAGATGTGGATATCCTGTAAACAGCTCACATAACTTCTCAATAAACTCAATTCAAATGATATTGTAATAAAAAATTCATTTCTTGAAAGAGTAGGGATTTTCAATGTGTCTACAGAGAGATGAAAAGTGAGACATGAAAAATACTGTCATTCAACACTGAAACGATGTTAAAAGCGCTCGAAATAACCTATCAAAAGAGCAGATTCAACATCAATTATCCCACAAAGGAGGTATTTCGTCCGAGAGGAATATATTGTTCGAGAATTAAACCTTTCAACTATTTTTGAACTTCTCCATGTACGGAAACAGTCGTCTTTGAAGTCCTTGCTTCGATAGCCTTCAATTCGAACCTCAAGCTCGGGTTCGTACTCCAGCACCTACATCAGAAAGATTAACCAAATACCAAAACGATTATTTCACCCTTTACTCATAAATAATCAGTGTAAAATCAACCATGACTTACTCAAAAAAAAAAAAAAAAAAAAAAAAAAAAAAAAA